CCGGCTCAGTGCCTGGCATGCAGTAGGGGCTCAGCACACACTTACTTGGTGATCAGTGAATTCATTACATCATCCATGACCTACCCTTGCTGCTCCCTTACGGCAGAACCTGACATCGTTTGCTAAGATGCTTGTGGTTGCCCATGAGCTTTTGAACCCCAGGAACCAGCAGGCCACGTTGCTTGAACGCAGTTTTGAAGACAACGCTTACGGCCCACAGAGCAATAAGCTGACGCGTGGTGCCTAATCCTGGGCCTCTCATCCATCAGGGGGAACTCGTTAAGGAGCGTCCGCCTGGAGACCCGCTAGCGATGAAGTGGACAGTTCAGAACGTGGGTTCTCCTTCTGCAGAGTAATTGGTGTCTTCATTTTTCTGGCGAAGAACCTCCCGCACTTTGTTGTGTTGAGTTGCTGTAAAAAGTGCGTCAGTTTTCATCACGTCTGACCATGTGACCGGTGCACAGTTGCGCAGGCAGGAAGGTGGCAGCGGGGCCTGGGCACCCACGGTGGGATCAGCCCTTTGCCCCAGAGGGACCCTCGCCTGTGGGCCATTGATTTTGGCTCTTGTGCAGCTTCAAGAGACGAGGCGTTTGTGTGTTAAAGTTCCCCACAGCCAGTTTTGAGCACCGGAGTCACCTGTCCCTCCAGCCTCCTTCGTTCCGGTGCCCAAAGCCTGGGATGGGGGCAGGGACGGAGGAAGGTCTCAGTTCCCAAAGGGCAGTGACGCTAGAAACCGCCTTTGTTCCGGAAGGCTGCAGTCTTCTTTCACTTTCTGTGAGAATGCTAGGAGGTCGGGTTTTTTTGGCATGTGTTTTGGATACTTGTTCTGCGGTCGCTCATCCCTTTGTCTCCTGAGGAAGGACATTGATTCCGTGATTCTTATTGTTCAGCCTCTTCCCTGGCTCCCCAAGGTGCACAGAGCAAAACCAGCAAGGCCTCAGCAGGCCCCTGGCACACAGCTCCCTTGTGACTCAGACGTCAGGACAGGGCCGGGGGCCACGCGCGGACCCTGGGATCGAGCACCTCATGCTGCTTCTTGGGCGGCCCTGGGCTGGCCGCTCTGCCGGCCGACGCCGCCTGCTCCCGGGACGTGCAGTCACGGGCCGCTTGGGAGACGCAGTGGCGTTAGGCAAGGGCGGCGCTCGCCGGGGTCCTCGAGCGAGCGACGCGGGGCTCCGTGCACATTGCTGCTCTCGCGGCCCCGCCTGACCGGCCACAGAGCGGGGTCCTGCAGCAGGTGCCCTGGGGTCCGCGTTAGCATTCACGCAGCTTTTCCTCACTCTTTTCCCTCTTTCGTAAGTTCCGATGATTCTCAGTCCCTGAAGCCCTGTCACAGGGGACTCCCCGTCTGGGCGCTTCTAGAAGCCATCCCGCCTCCTTGCTGTCCAGCACTGAGGGACCGCCACGCCCCTCTGAGGGGCAGGAGGCAGCGCCTGAATTGAGGACGCTCGTCTGCCTCCCCCCCGGGTGGCTGCGACCTGAGGATGGGCTGTCCTTCCCCAGGCGACGTGGGGATGAGGTAGCGGCCCTGGGCAGCGGTAACCACCCCAGCAGGCTGCTCGGCCCCGTGACCCTGTCCACACACAGCAAACGCCCAATAAACATTTTTTTTTCAGATTTTTAAAATGTTAAGGTGATATGGAACTTCCCTTATAACACTCAAATTCTGCCTGAAAGTCAATAATACTCTTACTTGGCCCTGACCGGGGTGGCTCAGTTGGGTGGACGTCGTCCCGCGAAGCGGAAGGTTGCCGGGTCTGTTCCACGCCAGGGCACAGGCCCGGGTTGCGGGTTAGGTCCCTGGTCAGGGCACGTGTGAGAGGGAACCGATCGGTGTTTCTCTCCCTCTTGTTCTCCCTCCCTTCTCTTCTCTCTAAAAATAAATAAATTAAATCTTAGAAGAAGAATATCCTGAACTGGGATCTGTCTTTGAAAGTGATACATTTTAATGAGCTGGTGGCTGGTGGAGGTCAAGTTCTTCTCTGTTCCCTGGCGAGAGGGGCCCTGGGCCAGACGCAGGAGGGGAGACGCGGGAGAGGGTTCTTGGCGGATTTGAGAGGGTTTTCTCCACCTGCTGCGCGTGTCCCTTATCAGGAGACCTGCTTTCATCCTAAATTGAAATTCCTCACAAGTGTGTATAGTGAGATTCCAGGAGCCTTCGAGCTCTGAGCCTGGGGAGCTTCGGGGACACGTCAGCTGTGCTCCAGGCTGCGCGTCGATGTTGGTGCAGGGACTGTGCATGTGAGGGCGGGCTGTCTGCAGATTTAATTTTCTTCCCCACGGCAGCTGCCGTTTCCGTTCAAGGCTCAGGTTAAAAACGGCGCGTGGGAAGCAGGGGGCTTCGGGATTTGAAAAGGTTACGATGGATGATTTCTGTCTCGCCACGTTGTCCTTTCACAAGATGGCAGAAAGAAGATGAAGCCCCGTGCATTTTGGGAAAAAACGCCTTTTCTCGAGAAGAGTCGACATGGGCTTGAGAGGGGAGGCCTGTGGGTCTGCTCGGCCCGTTGGCCCGGGCTGGGCGTGGGGCTGCGGGCAGCGGGCAGCGGGCAGCCCGGAGCTTCCGCGCACGTCACGGGAGCCGGAAGCAAGCCTCCCATGGGCGAACGGTGGGCGGCCACAGCTCGTTCGCCTGCGACAGCCTGGTGACGCGACGTAGGAGAATTGGGGGCGGAGGGTGAGCTTAGGGTCCCCATTTGTGAAATTCAGGGGCTCTGAGGTCTTGCTTTGGCTTCCTCATCCGCCGCCTGGGAGACCCCGGCCAAGAGGATGGCTTTCCCAGGTCTCAGCTTCCCCATCGGCAAAAGGGGGGCGTCGAGCTAGCTATGTGGTCTGTAAGGGCGTCTCCCGCTCGCACTTGTCAGCAGGCCTGACGGGGACCCGCGGGCGGAGGCAGCACGTGGTGGCCGGCAGGACGCCCTGCACGTAGGCCGTGGAGACCCGGCTCGCTGCCTGCGCGTCCCGAGGCACAGTGACGGCCCCTTTTCAGCCACACAGTTGGATTAGAGAAATCGGTCTCAAACGTGGCATTTGTTTTTGTATTCATGGCATCTGTTTACTTTGTCATGAATTGAATGGGCACGTTGGGGAAGGCCTGGGGGAAGGCCCTGCCCCCCAGATGGCCTCACATATCAGGGCAGGTGCCCTGAAATCAGAATGTAGCCTGTGCCCGTCGCTCTCCCGGCAGGTGCAGTGACCCCCGCCACCCCCACCCGTGGTCGGTCAGGACTGGCTTCGCTGCCCAGCTCCCCACATCACGTTAAGTTCGCAGGAGGGGGCGCTTGGCTTGGGAAAACAGCGCCATGCCATGTTGCCTTCTCCCAGCCGAAAACCCAACCAATTAGCACAGGCGAGGACAAATAAGCTACAGTATTTTATTGCAGGAGAACAAGTTGAGAGAGGTTCCCAGCTGGCCGGGGAAAGGTAGCTGCCAGCGACACTGGGCTTTCTTGGCCTTGCCATGGGCCCAGAGTGGAGCGCTGGCCGCTTTCCTCCGTCTCCCGACTCCCGAGGGCCGGTCGGGTGCCAGGTTGACAGTAGCGACCTCGGGCCCGAGGACGCCCCCCCCGGGCCTGGCCCGGTGCCCTGGGGCCCTCCCCCTCCCCCCAGCCCCGTGCAGAGCCGCGGCCCTCTGTTAGGCGGTCCACTGCTCCCTGGGAAGGGCGCGTGGAGGCCAGGACCCCCGCAGGAGCGCCCGCAGCTGCGCCTGCGCATCCTCCTCCTCTGCATGCCCACGGGCATTCCCAGGGCAGCCACCCTTGTGCTGACGCCGACCTTGCTAAGAGGCCAGCCCAGGTCGCCATGAGTGCGTGCGCATGTGGCCCTGGCGGCGCAGGACCTGCCGGTGGGCGAAGGGCAGAGGTCCCAGCAGGCAGGCTGGCCTGACCGGGCCAGTCCTGGGCCCAGGACTCCCAGCCAAGGACAGCGATGCTGCTCACGTGCCGTGGAGTCTGGAAGTCCTTTTTTCCTTGAGAAATGGGAGGGAAAGGGGCAGCCTGGCTGCTGTTCTGAGTGCCGCGCGAGACCGGGGATTTAATAAAGAAGGAATCCCCTCAGCCAGCCCTGCCTGCTCCGTCCGGCCCTTCCCCTCGTTGCTGGGCTGGCACCTGCTTGCCGTCTCTTCCCTCCAGCGCCGCCATTCCAGGGGCTGCGGCGGTGGCCCCGGGAGGCAGGTGCCGTGTGCGACACACTCCGCGCCTCTCAGATGAGGCCCCCCCTGCGCTGCTGTTGCCTTTAAACCGCCCCGCCCCTGGGGCGGCCTCCTAACCAGCCCCGCCTCCTCCCCTCCGGCCCTCCCACCCTGTCGCCTGAAGCGCTGGCCTGCGGGAGAGCCTCCGCCCGTCCCCCGGAGGACCCCTGCCGGCTGGGCCGGACCCGCCCCGTTCTCCACCCGCGCCCGCTGGCCCAGGCAGCTGTCCGCACGTCGTGGACGGACGTGGCCATGAGCAGCCGGACAGCTGTTAAACAAGGAGCAACAGGTAACGCGTTAGGGACGCTTCCTGGCTCCCTGTTTTAGTCTTTGATCCGGAGTGTGGCCACGACTGCTGAAGAGTCAGACTGGAACAAAACCTTACGGGACAGGAACGTGACCCCTCTGTCTCTGTTTTCCTCGCCATGTGTAGTTACGCGTAGGACACGGCGATACCCCGTTTTTCTTCATACGAACTTTTCCCTCCATTAGGTCCAGTCAGCAATACTTAAAATATAGAAATCCTGCTCAGTAAAATAGCTTCATTAAAAGAAATATTTCTTCCCTTACAAAAAGAATTCACAACCGTTTAGGGCCCAGTTTTTCAGAGCATCACGCTTCTCCGGTCGCCTTTAGTGGCCACTTTTGGGGATGTGAAAACCATCACCCCCGCCCCCAGCGAGAGAGAGAAAGGATGCGTCGTTGCAAGGGTTCTAGAAAACCAGAACAAAACTAATTTATTACAGTGCTGTCTTCATTATGCACCGCGTGTGCGTGAGTTAAACACAAGAAAATTATTGTCTTTTCTTTTAAAAGTGTCTACTAAAGATAAAAAGAATAAGGTAACAATTAACATGTAGTTTGTTACATTAAAAAATCTGATATACATATTTCTATTGCCTGTTAGCTTGTTCTAAGCCTCTTTAACTATTCCAAAAAACAAAAAGGAGAGGGAGAGAAAAGTCATTGTTCAAAGGCAAACATTCAATTCAGTTGATACAACATTACAGTACAGTCAACTAACATCGTTCAAGGAAGGTAGCAAGTCCGGCCTTCGCTGCTGGGGCGGGAAGTCGGCAGCCCAGGCTGCTCAGGCAGTTCGCGGCGGCTCCGCACCTGCACGTCCGCGGCTGGCCGCGTGGGGCACTCTCCCGGTGGCCGCGGGGGGCGGGGTCACGCCACGGGCAGAAGCACAGGGCGACCCTGACCTGCCATTCATCATTTATTGAGCACTGCAGTTAGAACAGCATGGTTGAGTGGAGCACAACTAAAACAAAATAATAATATAATCATCATGATAATAGCGATAAGGATAAAAATGCAATACACCCTGGAAGCCGAGGGGCGCTGCCGGCCGTGTCAGACCCTTGCGATGCGCTTGACTGGAGACCGAACCGAACCGAACGAAGCTGCTGACACACCCACCCGTCCTCCCACGCTGCTGCCGGCCGGCAGAGCCCGGCACGCGGACGTCGCCCACTCGTTCCCTCTGCAGAATAAAGCAAAAACGTCTTTGTGCTCCTTACTACCAGAAGCAAACGCCCGCCGAGTCACCACATGTAGTAGCTTCTGGACGTGTCCACCTGGGCGGGCTTCGTGTCTGCGGACCCTTCCTTGTCCTTCTCGTTGTCCCCCTCCCAGAGGTTGATGAGCGGCGGGTAGAGCTCGTTCAGCGGGATGGAGGAGGTCTTCTGCATGTACTTCTTCAGTGAGTGGTGGTAGTTCTTCCTCTTCAGCCTCTTGGCCACGTACACGGCCACGGACGCGAGGCTGACGAGGGCGAACAGGCAGCCCATCACGGCCGCCAGGGCGGTGCTGGCCTCCTGGTCGGAGAGGGCCAGCGCGAGGGCGGCGTCCTTGGTCGTCACGTTGACACACGACTTCTGAGTCTGCTGGTGAATGTTGGACACGGTGAGGCACACCTCGTAGTCCGTGGAAGGCTGCAGGTGCGTCAGGTTGTACTCGTGGACGTCCACCGGGACCCGGGCGGTGTAGGTGATGTGGGGGTTGTCAATCTTCATGGTGGCGGACGACCACTTCAGGTTGGACGTCATGACGTTAGAGTTGACTTTCCAGGACACTAAGATGGAATGGGACTCCGTCTGCTTGACGTATATTTTCAGCACCTGGGCACCATCCAGGAAGGTCCCATTCACCTTGATTGTCACCACGCGAGTGTCTGCCCCCTCGACATTTTGGGCGACACAGGTGTATCTCCCGGAATCTTCGGTCCGTATGTTAGATATTTCCAAGGTCCCTTCGCTACTCAGCTTGTACCTGTCCAGCAGCGTCTCCACGGTGATCTTGTTTCCCAGGGGACTGACCCAGTAAATGTCGGGCTCCGGCTCGGCCATGGCCCGGCAGTCCAGCAGCACCGTCGTGCCGATCTCCACGTTCAGGTGGCTGGGGAGCGTGTCGTGAGCGATCATGGGGAGGCACCGGTCCCCGGGGTCCTGGGCGAGGACCTCCTTCACCTGCTGCCCCCGGTACTCGGGCGGCAGGGCGCAGAACATGGACAGGGGCTCCATGAAGCGGATGCTGGTCTTGTTGGAGCTCACCCAGTGGATGACGCAGTCGCACCGCAGCGGGTTGCTGTGGATGCTGATCTCCCGCAGGCTGGGCAGGGACTCCACCGTCTTCTGGTAGACGGCGTTCAGGGCGTTGTTGTTGAGCATCAGGCTTTCCAGGGCGGGGACGCTGCGGAAGGCCAGGCGGTGGATGTAGGACAGCTTGGGGTTGTTGGTGGCCTCGAGCTTGGTGAGCTCGGGCAGGTTGTCGAGTGCGTAGCGGTCCACGGACACCAGCTCGCCCATGTTGTTGAGTCCCAGCTCTTTCAGCCGGAGCATGTCCTTGAAGTCCCCCTCTTGGATTTTGTGGATGGGGTTTTTGTTGAGGTCTAAGAACTTCAGATTCGGAACCTTTTGCAGCGCCAGTTGGGGGACCTTGACCAGTTTGTTGTCATAAAAAGACAGGCTCTCGAGACTGTCTAGGCCCACCAGGGCATTCCCGGGGACGTCGGTGAGGTACATTCCTGCCAGCACCAAGCTCCTCAGGTTGCAGAGGGGCTTGAAGTTCATGTCCAGAATCCCAATCACGGGGTTTTCCCCGATCATGAGGATTTCCAGGTTGGGCGTTGAATCGAACCAGCGGCTGTCGATGACTTTCAGCTTGTTGGAGTTCAGGTGGAGCCTGAGGAGGTTTCTCAAGCCCGAGAAGGCGTTGGCCGAGATGGTGCTGATCTGGTTGTGGTTGATGTAGAGCTCCTGGAGGTTGCCCAGGTCCCGCAGGCAGTAGTCCGTCATCTCTGTAATCTGGTTCTCCTCCAGGTGCAGGGTGGTGAGCTGCGTCAGGTTGGCCAGCCCCACCTCCCTGATGCTGGTGAAGTTGTTCTGGGAGAAGTCCAGCTCCGTCAGGTTGAAGAGCTGCTGCAGCTCGTCCACGGTCCTGGCGATGTTGTTGCTCTGGAGGAGCAGCACTTGCGTGTCGCTGGAAAGGTTGCCGGGGATGCGGGTCAGCCGGAGGTCGTTGCAGTCCACGGTGGTGGCTTCCCTGTACGTCGACTGCGGGGTGAACCAGGGCCTGATCTCGCACACGCAGAGCTGAGGACACTCGCTGCTTTGCAGGGACGACCCAGTTAAGGAGGTCGCCAGCAAGCCCAGCACCAGCCGGGAGGCGGCTCGGACCCAGCTCATCCTGGCCATGCCGCCGCCGGGCCAGCCCGGCCCCCACCCGCGCGCTTCACCAGCAGGCAGGCGCTCGAGAGCGGCGTGTCTGGGAGCCAGCGGGGAAGGCAGACATCCAGGCCAAGTCCCAGCCACGCTGCGGAGGGTTCCGGGGGCTGACGCGGTGGCTTTCCGGAGTTTCCTAAAGGCAGGAAGCACTCGGGTGTCGTTCAGCCGTGTTGCTCGGTCGCAGGCGTGCCCAGGGTGGGTGGCACAGGGGGCCCGGCCACGTCCGAGCCTGCAGGGTGCCTGGAAAGTAGATGGGGACAGATGTTACATCCGTTCCTGAGACTTCCTACATCACAGCCTTTCTTCAGTGCCCCTGAAAAGGCATAATAATCACTTGCCGATCAATTAGCAGAATGTTCAAAGGAACTCAAACAAGCGTTTGAACTGCAGGACACTTTTACTACATTCCACTCACAACACTAAACTAGTTACCACTTTTACAGTTAAATTGGGAGCTTATATGATTGGGTAAAAGACACACACACACCCCCTAATAGAAACACTTAGAAAAACCCACAGATGTCATTTTTTAAAAGCAAAAGTGACTTTAGAAACTATGCATGTTTATGGCACCAGAAAAAAGTTGAAAGGTCAGAAGCAAACCGCGAGAGGCAGGGAATTAGGGGCTCCAGGTGTGTTTTGGTTATTTGTGTTTTAATCACAACGTCATCTGTTTCCCATAGTTCTTTCCTCTCCAGATGGCACGCCCTGTAGACGCATTCAGCCGGTGCTTTTCCAGTCTGATGATCCTGATGCGGAAAATTAATTTCATACAACTGGAAGAGGATGACGTCGGCTTTCCTTATGTTCCAACAGCCACGTCTGGTTGTGACTGAATAAAGTAGTAAAAGGACCCTATTTGGCCGCACGACTGCTCTTCATTAAACACAAACATACGTAGCCCTGGCTGGCGTGGCTCAGTGGGCTGAGCCTTGTCCTGAAAGCTGAAAGGTCGCCAGTTTGATTCCCGGTCAGGGCACAAGACTGGGTTGCAGGTCAGGTCCCTGTGTGAATGAGAGGCACCTGATCAATGTTTCTCCCCTTCTCTTCCTCCCTTCCTCCCTTCCTCTCACTCTAAAAGTAAATAAATAAAATCTTTAAAAAAATAGCAAGCAAACATACATGTATGTAAACAGCACATGGATAATTTCCTCCCTCGCGCGGGGACGTCGCTGCCCACTCAGTGACCGCAGACCGCGGGTATATCGAATTCGCTATTTGACCGGCTGGAGACCGAGCTGCTTCAACTGTAAAACGCGGCTGGTCGCAGTGTCACCGAGGGGACGATAGGACTCTGCGGGAAGCTGTCAGCGTGGCGCCTGGCAGACTGTACGCGCTCACGGGCATGAGTTTTCTCTGACAGGGCTCGCCAGACAGTGGTCGTTGGGGGGCAGGGGAGTGAAGGGGGGCCGGAGCTGTTGGCTTTTCCTTAGCCATCGCGTGTGGGGTTCCATGAGGTCCTCGGAGGTCCAGGACGTGTGGCTGAGCGGCCCGTAGAGATAACCTCATTAGGTGACGGCTCTGGTTTTCCAGGTTCCAGGCAGGTGCAAGGAGCCGCTGTGGCCCCAGGGCCGGCACTGCTGTCCGAAGACGAGGCCAGCCGCTGGCTGCGGGAGGCAAGGTGGGCGTTAGGTCGCCTTGCACTTGTTTCCCCGTAAGGAACGTCCGTGCGGAGTATTGCAGGGGCTTCAGCGACCGGTGTTTCCTTCGCCTCCTACGCCTGCCGTGAGGACTCGGTAGAACAGCGTGTGACATGCGTGAAGCCCAGCTCAGCCCCCGGCAAGCGCTCCACTCAGGCGCTGCCATCGTTGCCGTCGCGCTTTGTGAGACATAGGTGTCCTTGTGTGAGCGACCGGGAGGGAGAATGACACAGGGCCCTTCCTTAAAGCCCCATGTTGCCCGTGTGTTAGTAGAAAGAAGGAAAAGTCCGATATATTTTTTGTTTCAAAAAATATGCAAATCAAACGACTAGTCTGACACGATAGAATCTTAAAAACCCATGCAGTGCAGGCCTGGCGATGTGGAGGCAGGAGGCGGAAAGGCCCGCGTCGCGGGGTGCTTTGCCCTCGCCTCGCGTGGCTACTCTCCACGGTAGACGTGTGCGAACCGCCCGTGTTACAGAGCCCGTGGTCCAGGCCCTGTCGGGAAATCCTATCAAAAGAAAACGTACCGCAGAGTCAGTGTTCTGAATATTTCCGTTACCCCCGCACACTTATTCCACTCTGTTTGCAGTTAGAGTGGCCCTAAAACAGGTATGGGGCCACGATCCGTGTGCACCGAGGGAAACCGCAGCCGCGTGTGGCTCCTGAGTCTTAATTCAAAACCGAAACCCAGGAGGTTAAAGCTACCTTTCATAACTCAGGTTTGGAATGTCAACAAATACTTGTGTTTTGATGTTTTTAAATTTAAGGACAGAGAACAAAAAGTAAAATATGTATTCGTTAAACTCCCCAAAGAATCTGTTGCTATTGGAACGAAAGGTTTTTAAGGGGCTCCGCTTCGAATACTGCTTCGAATACTATCATGAGTAATGCCTCCATTCTAGTTTAAATTACATGATTCGAGGTAATAGTACCGCAGTCCTGAAATTCCTCTTTGACACAGACACACGTCTCTGTAAATGAGTAGGCTGGCGGGCAAACAAACCGCCCAGCGCACAAGCGCAGGGTGTCATCTGCAAGATGTCAGGGTCAGAGGGCAGACCCTGTCCTCTCCCCAGCCTGCGTTTGGCTCTGTTTCAGGTGTTTCTCTTTGCACCCCCCTCTGAATTCTATTTAGCATACTTCCCCAGCCCAGATTTTGAATGTGGCATTATATACACAACAAAGCTTCAAAGAATTCTCAAACCACCCCACGCATTTAGGACAAAAGGCGCATCTCGGGAGCGCCTTGGGAAGGGAGTAGAAAGGAGGCCCGTTATCAGAACAAGAGAAGAAAGTGTCCCTGATGCCGGAAGTGCATTTGACAAGATTTAACACCCTTGAGTGCTGAAAACACTCAACAGCCTAGGAATAAAACTGCCTCAACATAATAAAAACCATATATGAAAACCCCACAACCAAACTCATTTATTGGTGAAAGAGTGTAAGGCTTTCCTTTAAGATCAGGAACAATGTAAGGATGCTCACTCTAGCCACTTGCATTTAACTTAGTACTGGAAGTCCTAGCCAGAGCACTTAGATAAGAAAAAGAAACGGCATCAAATGGAAATAAATGGAAAGGAAAAAGTTAAACTGTCTGTTTGTAGATGATGTGATCTCACCTGTAGAAAACCCTAAAGATGTCCCTCAGAAAACCCCCTCAAACTGTTACGACAAATAAATAATTTCAGCAAAGTTGCAGGATATAAAATAAACACATAAAAATCAGTTGTGTTTCTGCACCCTAACAACGACCAATCCAAAGAGGAGGTTAAGAAGATGACCCAGTTTATGGTAGCATCAAGAAGAATAAAATATTTAGGAATAAACTTATTAACCAAGGAGACAAAAGACTTGTACACTGAAAACCACAAACATCACTGGAAGAAATAAAATATACAAATCAATGGAAAGACATCCCATGTTCATGGATCAGAAAACAATGTTGTTAAAATGTCTGTAGCACCAAAACGATCTAGAGACTCAATGCAATCCCTCTCAAAACCTCAATGGCAAATTTTGTAGAGACAGAAAATCTTAAATTCGTATGGAATCTTAAGGGACCCCAAATACCCAAAGGCATCTGGAAAATGAAGGGTGTTCGAGGCCTCCCACTTCAGAACATGCACAAGCCATCAGTAATAATGGTGGCGTGGCACTTGTATGAAGACAGACATGCAGATCAGTGGAAAGAGAGCCCAGCAGGAAGCTCTTCTGCACAGGATCCAACAATCTGATGAAGGGGCCAAGCACACGTAAGGAGGAAACAGTAATCTCTCCAGCAAACAGTGCTGGATTTCACGTGCAAAAGAATGAAGTGAGACCCTGACCTGACGCTACCTACAAAAGTTAACTCAGAATGGAATAAAGACCTACATGTAAGACCTAGAGCTAGAAGACTCCTAGAAGGAAACGGGAAAAGCTGCAGAGCGTTGCGTTTGGTTGTGATTTCTTGGCTACGACGCCAAAAGCACAGGCGACAAAAGCAAACATACCCATGGGGGACTAAATGAGACTTAAAAAGTTCTGCGTATCAAAGGAAACAACCAACGGAATGAAAAGCCTGCAGAAGGGCAGGAAGTGTTTGAAAACCATGTTTCCGATAACACGTGAGAATCTCCTGCAGCGCTAGAATAACAGCCTGATAAAACACGCAAATAATCCAATAAAAAGAGGTAAGGTATTTGAATACATAATTCTCTAAAGAAGCTACACAAATGGACAATAAGTATAGAAAAAGATGTGCAATATCACAAATCATAAGAGAAACACAGATCAAAGTCACATCGAGAGGCCACCTCATACCCGTGGACATGGCTGTCCTCAGAACAGGAAGTAGCAAGCGCTGGTGACAACGTGGAGAGGCTGGAACCCTCATGCACGGTCAGTGGGAGTGTAACACGGCGCATTCAGCAGGGAACATAGCGCGGACGCTCCTCCATGAATCAAACCCGCACTCCCACTCCCGGTGTGTATCCAGAAGGCTTCCAAGCAGGATCTCAAAGAGATGTTTGCACACCAGTGTTCATCGCGGCATGAGTCACAGCAGCCGAGGGACGGGAGGGGGCAACGCACAGGTCCACTCGCAGGTAAGTGGACAGAGAAAAGGCACAGACACACGTGAAACGGGCAGTCAAGCAGCCCAAGGAAGGAAGGGAGTCCTGGCCGAGCTACGATACGGAGCAACGTCAAGGACAGTATACAGTGAAGTAATTACACAGGAGGCCATGTATTGTAGGACTCCACTCCCATGAAGCATCGAAAGTAGTCAAAAATCACAGGAGCAGGAGGGAGGACGCGGTTGCCAAGGGCTGGAGGAGCGAGGAGGGGGAATTAGTGTTTCGTGGGTATAGACGCGGCTTTGCGAGCATCTGAGATGCGTCACACACAGCGCAAATATCCCGAGCACTACTGAACTGCCTACGGAAGAATGGAAGGTGGTGAATTTAATGTTTTGTCATCATCATTAATAAAAGTAAGTCATAATTCAGTCCAGCTTTTATCATACACATACAAATTAATTATCTTAAATTCTGCAACAAATAAAAAATGGCTGGCACAGCTCTTTTTTTGAAAGGTGATACTGCTTTTCCCCAGGGC